TTCGCCGGCCAACATGACCTACAACGCTGCTCTCCTCCTCCCTTCTCCTTCTACCTTCCGTTGCTGGTGATGCTCTTCGTCTACGCGCGAGTTTTCGTCGTGGCGACGCGCCAGCTGCACTTGCTGCGTCGGGAGCTGGGACGCTTCCCGCCAGAGGAGTCCCCGTCGGCGGCACGGCGCTGTCGGGCCCCAGCCCAGGCGGGGCCGTGCGCTCCGCCCGCAGCGGGGCCCTCCGGCAGCCGCCGGCCGGCGCGCCTCCTGCCGCTCCCGGAACACCGGGCCCTGCGCACCTTGGGTCTCATCATGGGTACCTTCACTCTTTGCTGGTTGCCCTTCTTCGTGGCCAACGTGGTGCGCGCCCTTGGGGGCCCCTCCCTGGTTCCCGACCAGGCTTTCCTGGCCCTTAACTGGCTGGGCTATGCCAACTCTGCCTTCAACCCGCTCATCTACTGCCGCAGCCCCGACTTTCGCTGCGTCTTCCGCCGCTTGCTGCGCCGCGGCCCGCGGGAGGAGCGCCACGCTGCCGGCGCCCCTTCCTGGACCCCTGCGGCCCCGGCCCGCCCTTCCGAGTCCCGGCAGTGCCCACCGCTCAACGAGTAGGTAACGCGGCCAAGGGGCTGACAGCTCAGGATCGGGAAAGACTCGGTGTCTCCTCTGGTCCATGTTTTGAGTTTGGGGTTCGAGAGGAGAAGGTGGGGCTGGGGAGGGACTCTGCGTGGAAGGAAGGGAAGACATGGATTAGGGAACCAAAATGAAAACCGAAGTCCATTCTTTTCCCGCATCCGATCCACCCGCGTAGGATTGAAACGAAGGGGGGCCGCGGGGTTGTCCTTCACGCCAGCGCCCCACGTGTGCGCCAGGGAAGTGCTGATGGGCCCCCAGGCCTCCGGCCCGCAAGGTCAGCTCAAGTTTTGGGTTTCTAGCCCCGTTCCACGGCCGCCCGGATTTCTTGTCACCACTCGGGCTGGCTTTGGCTTGCAGAGACCATTGGAGGCCCTCCCCCCAAGTCCTTTGCCCCAGTTCTGGTTTCTTTGAAGGGTTGATAGCCACGAAGGTGAGAATGCACTGAGGGTCTGAAGGGTCTGAGGGGAGTGAGGAAGCCGCAGTGCGAGTTCTTCCAGCTGGTAGAGACAGGGCTGGGCTGGAGTCCCGGTAGGCTTGTGGCTGCGTGGGGCCGAGGCTTTTGTATAATTAGGGGTTTTCAGGGTCCCTGACCGCCTGGGTCCCCTGTCCCCACCCTGTGCCCCACCCACCCCAAGATTTGTTGTCTTCATTTTTTCCAGGGCTTCCTGGGGAATTTCTTAGGCCTTGAAGGACAAGAAACAAGAGCTCCGTTGATCATTGATCCAGAACCTTTGGAAAGCTCTGGCCTCTGTTTAGAACGAGCCCCGTGGAGTTTCCCAGCTGGAAAACTCTGCCCTCCAGAACCTGATGACTGGGCCACGGATGGGGAGGTGGGGACGGACTGGGAGGAGAATCCTTACCAAGCGGGCGTTTTGCCATCCTCTCTCTTTCTTTCTGAGAGAAGATTTTTAAATCCCATTCCTGAACGTCACCAATACCTCAGCAGCTAGAGAGTCGGGCTGTCTGTGCCCAGCTGCCCTTGGAGCGGTCGGGCTGGCTTTGGCCGGGCACCTTGCTCACTTGTGTGCGTGTGCTTAGGGCAGAGAGAGTACCCCTCATTCTATCCCCCCCCCCCCCACCTGATGAACCACTCAGTGTCCTCTAGGCTTGGCAGCCCAGGCTGAGAGCAGGAAGCTAAAAAAGGTCAAGGTTTGGGATTTTTGTCCCTGGCTTCCTCACCAGGGCTCTCTAAGCACCAGCCTCCCCCACTTTAGACACAGAATAGCTCCGATCTACCTCACAACAGTGTCAGAAGGACTTCTTCAGGGTTTGGGGGGACTCCAGGGTTCATAGAAGGTAAACCATTAGAATGGATCCCTTCTTTACATTTTTAAATCAACTTAATAAATATTATTGAATGCAGTTCATCCATTGCCTTCTCTTCTCTCCATTTGTTTTCTTTCCATAATCCACTTACTTCTGAGCGCTGGCTTTCGACAGCGGCAATAAATTAGGACTAATCCTTGTTCCTTTCTTCCTAACCCTCGTGAAATGAAAATGAAACATCTGCTTGGATAAAGGGGAGCGAGCTTGAGCCGCTGATACTCCTGCCTCCCCACCCTTTCCAAAACTCCTGGAATCCAGTTCAAGTGAGTAGCAAAGCCATGATACCCACAGGACTTGAGCAAAGTGTCCACGGGATTGCGTTTGCTGGGCTCAGGATCAGGGCACATGGAGCATATGTCAGCTCCCATGCTACAAGCCAGTGGCGGCTTCCTACGATCCCGTTGCCAGCAGGCACCAGTTTTATTCTGCACTGTACGTGTTCATTTCTGGAGGCACGGAGCATTGTTTGTGTTGGGCATATGTCTTGGGCTATAAATATATTCTGACATTTCCCATTCTTTTCCTAACCTCTACCTCCCCACTCCCTTTCCTGGGCTGCAGAAATCTATAGTATCCTCTGGAAGTAAAACTGGAGTTACAAGTCTGAGCCAGTTGATCATTGTTTTCCTTATTCCAATTTTTATGAATCTTATCAGGCAGTTTTCTATGGAAAGCACATTTTTATGGAAATCACTGGATCTTTTTGTGAGTTCTTACTTAAACCCCATAAACAGAGGCCATTGTCTGGACTGATATACAGGATAACCTATAAATCATAAACAAGTTTAATGTGCTGAATGACAGCAGTGTACAGTGCATTGGCTAGGTTCAGGAGCTCCAGAGTTATAAAACTTCGATCTGCCCTGAGGATAAGCTCGGTGGATGTCCACATATGGGTGTTCCCTGTGAATTGGACCTGGCCTCGGCTGTTCTCTTTTCTCCAGGAGCCCAGGTTTTATTTCTTAGGATGTTTGCATACCAAAGATGGCTTTCTCCTTTTCAACCCAGGCCAGTGTGAGATCTCTGCTGTCTGAGGTGTGGAAGGTTTCTGGGCAAGGACTCAACTTTTGAACCCTTAGTGGAGAAGGAAGTCTAGCTTTAGCCTGGGGATAAGTAAGCTTTAGCCTGGGGATAAGTAAGAGGGCCGCCTCTCCCATCTCTGAATATTTTCTCAGCATCACTGAGGAAAGTTGCCCAGTCAGTCTTAGGCAGGGGAGAAGGGTGATTTGTCAGGGGGAAGAGGGAGGGAATGGAGAAGGATTCTGGTTTGTAGAACTGTTCTTGAACATTATCCAGGAACTCATACTGCTTGAGTCTTGCTTGACAGATACCCGTGTGCCAGCTGTCAGACTCCTTTGGAGTGTTTAGACTTGCACTGGAGCTGTGGACTCCATCTGCGAATTGTCACCAGTGTATCTGACAGGTGGAGAGGCAACCTCTCCGGTTGTTTCTCCAGCAACTTGTGACCAGGTGTCAGGCTGAGAGAGATTTACATCCTTGGATGGGGAGCAGGCTGCGTTTGTTAGCATGAGGCCTGAGCACTTGAACTGTGGAAGACAAACAACCATCCTCTGAACCTACAGCTGTGAAGACTTACAGACCATTGAGAATGAAAGAGCCCGTGGAATCGCTGGTCTTGCCAGAGGCTGTTAGCAGGAGCTGGGCATGGGGCAGAAATGACAGGGAGAAGGGGGCTGAGTTGGAAGAGGGGGAGTGAGGAGTGACTGGATTTTCCGGAGGAACTGCTAAGGAGCAGGCAGAATTAGGGCATGGGGGAAGCTGAGAGACTTTTGTCAGGCTCTCCCCATGGTAGATTCTTCTGGGGAACGAAGGTAAGTTGAGACTGTGGTCCTCAAGAGCAGTCAGCGGGCTACAGTTCCACACCAACTTCATTCCTCAACCCTTCATAGAGTAGGAGCAGCTTTTTCCTCTTGTCCTGGGGGCACAGACGAAGGCCATGGAAATAGTGCTCCTTTATGTTTCCCTCCTGAAAACCAAAGATCCAGGCTTCCTCTCAGGCCTCCTGGTGGATTATGTCTGTGTTTGTGTCCAGAGGGGAAGTGGGTGCCTCCAATGGAGAGTATTGCTAATGCTCCCCCCCACTCCAGGCATAAAGCTCTGGATATAGTCAGCTTTAGGCTAATTAGTGAGTGGTTGAAGCATAATGCACAACTCAGTTTGATTAGCAGAAACTCCATAAGGCCATCTGACCTTTCATTAGCTCATCCTGTTAGGAGATTAAGGAAAATCAAAATGCTTCCCTCATCTATAAAATAAATGGAGAACAACATTTTCTCTCCTCTCTTGTCTTCAGAAGGGGAATGAGCGTTTCTGGGATGGTTGGCTCTCCTCAAGTTCTGTGAAGTACTAGGCAGAGCTTACTTAGCACCTTCAGTATCTGCGCCACCCAAGGCATAAGCAGTGCTAGGTGCCCCCTGATGGCGATGTGAGGTACAACAGGTGTGGACTTTGAAATACTGGTCTGTTGAAAACCTAAGGACCCTGCCTATCCCAACGGGAAGAGACCACATAAATGATTTAGACCAATCTTTTGATAAAATGGATGAAGAGACTGACTTCTAGAGAGGTGACTTGTGAGAAACCAAGATTTAAATGCAACGCTGTGGTTGGTAGTATAGAGAGCACAGAATTCAGAGCTGGAAAACAAAGGGAGGAGGAAACAAAGAATTATTAATAAAACATGTGGGGGGAAAAGGGAGTAGGAAAGACATGATAATTTATTGAGCACAAATAAATATAACTGTTTTATTTGGTGTCACTACAAATGTTATATTAGTGACACAAATAAAAAATAGTCTCAAAAAAAACCACAGAGTTTCATAGAAATCAAATAGCTTGCTTGTATTGATTCTAATGCAGTCTACCAGGCTCCAATGTTTATTTTCTTCTCTCTACACACACTGCTATAATCAGTTATGTGATGCTGAGCAAGTTACTTAGCATCTGACATGTTGTTTGCCAGTGAATCAAGTGGAGATTTTATTAGTGCTCTACTCAGCTCATGCAGACTGGTTTTGAAGAACAAATGACTGTATGCAAAAATGGTTTGGACACCGAAAGGGCTTCTCCAGTGTAAGTGGTGTCATTAGAGTATGAAGCTGGGACTAGTTCCAGGTGTCCTGGTTTTGATCCTTGTATGGTCCTGCTTCTATCGACAGCCTGGATCTTGGACCCACTTGTCCTTGGTCACTGTGGGCACACCCTACTTTATCTTTCTTCTGCAGGTTCCTCCCCACCTCAGACCAATTCCACTGGCTCCATATCCATGTCACTGAACATCTCCCCTTCTGGCCCTCTTGTCACGTTCAGACCCTGGTCTGGCTTGTGCCTGACATTTTGGTCCTGGTTTGGCTCACCCTATCATTGCCCTTGCAGCACTTACAATGAGCTAAATTTTAAAGGATGGACAGAAGGTTTTGAGACAGAGGGCACTTCCAGATGTCAGTGCTTTATGGGACAGAATCAGGATTCATGAGAAGGGGGCCCTAAGGAACCAGAAAAAGGAAGATAGTGTATTCGTTTGCTAGGACTGCCATAAACAATTACCACAAACAAAAATGTATTCTCTCACAGTTCTAGAAGCTAGAAGTCCAAAATCAAAGTGTTGGTTGGATCATGCTTTCTGAAGG